CTCACTCTTACCCTATCCCCTTCACCCCGTTCTTACTCCTCCCTTACCAGGTGCCATTTTCATTATGTATATATACATATATAGTTTCCCCTCACTTCTTGCCAAAAAGGTAGCATACTATATATATAGTCTACTGCACCATGAAATACAAACAAATTTAAAAATAATTGAACACTTCATGGGCACCTCGGTGGCTCAGTAGGTTAAGTGTCTGACTCTTGATTTCCATTTAGGTCACGATCTCACGGTTTCATGAGTTCGAGCTCCACATGGGATCTCTGCTGACCGCATGGAACCTGCTTGGAATTCTCCCTCTCTCTCTTCCCCTCCCCTGCTAATGCTTTCTTTCTCTCTCTCAAAATAAATAAATAAACATTAAAAAAAATTTGAATGCTCCAAATTACCAAATTCGCAAAGAATAGTGAAAAGAACAGTGTATCTTATTAACACACCAAAGGGTTAGTATAAGCAAGATGGTACAAGATGAAATAACATAATCATATAAATATCCTTTGGTAAATGTTAAAAAATGTATTACCAAAAGCACGGATCCTAGGTTATTGCAATCAGCAGTTCTATTCTTTGTTAGTTGCACGAAATCTGGAAAAGTGTTCAACTGGACCATGTTCTAAGAGGAGAATTGAAAAGAATAGCAGAAAGATGGGAAAATACTTCAAGGAGAGAACTAGAGGAAACAGAACTCCCTTCAAATACTTGAAAGCACTTGACAGAATAACATATAGACTCATCCTGTGTTCCTCTAGAAGGCAAAACAGACCACAACATAGATGTCATAAAGAGGAGGGTTTTAATTCAACTTCAGAAAGCAAAGAAGTTCCCCTTGAAGGCACTGTATTAGTGAGGTCCCCATCACATTTGTATAGAGTCTGGGATTCCACTGTGAAGATTCCAAGTATCTCTCTACAGGAAAGCTGCCCTGAATCAACTCTATGATTCTATCTTCTATCCACACCTAAATAGCTTCTGAGAGTAGCTTTCTACTTTTTATTTTGATGTTTATTTACTTATTTTCAGAGAGAGCACGAGTGGGGGAGGCGCAGAGAGCGAGGGAGAGAAAGAATCCCAAGCAGGTTCCACACTGTCAGTGCAGAGCCCAACACAGGGCTTGATCTCATGATCAAGTGAGATCATGACCAGAGTCGAAATCAAAAGTCAGACACATAATTGACCAAGCCACTCAGGTGCCCCAAGAGAGGAGCTTTCTATTAATACAAGACGTGTTATTCACAATGATGACCTTGATTCATAAAGAAAATATTAAACTGTAATCAGCTATACATCATTGAATCTTGTTGGAGCTGTAGAAGCTTCCTAGAAACTGCTTACTTGTTTTCCAGTAGTTGACTACATTAACATGGATCAGACCTAGCTGGTCAGGTCCAGCTTATGGGTGAGACTACCCAGTGTCTATTAGAATGCAGGATTCAAGATAGAATTTCCAGTTGAAAAGTAACTGGAAGAGAGGGTCAGATATATCAGCAAGGCTTTAGTGTCTCAGACACAAACTAGAGCAAAGATCTGAGAAATGCTCCTCACCTGGATGTGTTTTCCAACTTCCTGTGAATACACAAATGCCTTAGGGGAAAACGGGACTGGGAACAACACCTAAAAGAACTGCATTGACTAAATGCAAGATAATACTGCTTTGATGCCCATATGACATACCACAGCACAGGAGGGAGGTGTCTTTCTGTTTCTGTCCAGAACACAAACTGGCTTGATTTATTGCAGGCTCCAAGAACACAGTGCCATAGTTTTGGGCAGAGAGTTTCAACACAGCATAGTGTCTATGGCAGTATCCGGATTTGGCCAGGGAAAGTGCCCAAGAGGAGACAGTTAGGCTGTGTCCTACGGCCAAGGACCTGCATTTATTTTTGCATGCAGTGGTAAGAAGCTAAAGAAAGAAGGTAAGGGCTTCTTCATTAGTATACTGAGATATGTCTTGGTGATTCCCAGTAATAAAAGGGGGAGGATTCGAGTATAGAGTCCCCTGGGGAGAAAGTGAAGGTAAGTAACCATTTCTAGAAAAGCTGGCTCAGTATTCTAAATTTTTTTCTCTTAATGTTTATTTATTCTTGAGAGAGAGAGAGACAGGACATGAGCGGGGGAAGGGCAGAACAAGAGAGGGACACAGAATTTGAAGCAGGCTCCAGGCTCTAAGCTGTCAGCGCAGAGCCCAATGTGGGGCTCGAACCCACAAACCGGGAGATCGTGACCTGCCAAAGTCGGACACTTAACCCACTGAGCCACCCAGGTGCCCCTATAGCTCATTATTCTAAACACAACTTGTCTGTAAATTAAGATAACTGTAAATTCTTGGACACTTCTTCCACTGAGAGATACGATCTATATGCCCTTTCCTTGAATTTGGGCTAGACTTAATGACTTACCTATATCCAATAAAATGCAGTAGAAATAAATAAAATAAAATAAAATAAAATAAAATAAAATAAAATAAAATAAAA